GCTTCGGTGTATACTTCAGATATCGCTTCTAGTTCTCTCAAAAAGAAAAAGTTAAGAACTCCTTTACAGAATTCTATTAAAGCTCTCTGATAAATTTAAAGAAATTTTATTTTAGATCTGGTACTACGTATTTCTTTTGTCCTTGTCTTGAAGCGCAAAAACACGTATTGGATGAGAACTAGTAGTGGGTATGCAAAAGTGTATATTTATCCAATCATACACTGTTTACAGTTTTCTTTAAAAAAAAAAAAAAAAAACAAATGAATAAATAAATTTTAAAAAGTTAAAAAAGGCAAGTGTCTCATCCTTGTGCAATATTGAAGTGTGGGCTGTTGCCTTTTCTGCATGTACTCCGACAGCTGTAGCCTGAGTAACGGTGTCACTTGAGTCGAAAAACGGCCACCATACGCGCACAAAAGAAAAAAACTCTATTTTTCTTACTGAGGGCATAAGTAGGAGATTTGTATTTAACCATGGCCGTTGAAGCTTAGCTGAATCTAAAATATATCTGCAGTTGGTTACCGTAAAAATTTGTCATTGGGCAGCTCGGCTGGGCTGGGCACTTTGCTTTGCAAACTCAGAAGGGGAGAACCAAGCGCCTAAGCTTGCAACGCGATCGGGAGAGTTGCTTACCTGACCTTTTTTCGTGTTCCAGAGTACATTCAAGAAAGGGGGTGAATAAAAATAGCCACTGAAATAATGCGCTTCTTTTACCAAAAAATGTTAAAAGTTGGATGTGGTCGAAGAAAAAACAGGGCTGTAGAGAAATACGGTGGTATAAAGGAGCGAAACAAAGGCGTCGAAATCGTTGTCGGAACTAGCGGGAAGATGTATATATAAATCGACGTGGAAGAGAAAAGTGGTGTGGGGGACAAATACAGATGTATAAATAAGGAAGAAAAATAAGAAGAGCAAGAGGCAAGAGATTTTCCCTCGTATAACGTCGTCGTTGAACCAAAAGGAAAGGGAGCAAAGAAAGGAGGCTCCTGCGCCAAGACATAAACGAAGACGTAGTGCGGTGGAGAGCAAAGGGCGGATGGTGTGCAAAACAGAATGGCTGTAGGTCCAAAAAAAAAAAAGAATGTCTATCGAAAAAAAGTGTGAAAAAAAAGGAAAGCTCTCGCGAGATGAATCGGAGATTTCGAATAGGGAGGAAGCTAGAGGACGGTAGCTGCGGGGGGAGGCTGAGGAATAAGTCGTGCGCTACTACTGCAAATGTTGTACAAGCTAAACAGCTGCGGAAAAGAAAAAGGCCGCAGGTGCTTCAGTTGGGCTACTTCTAAACTTGGGATAATAAGTCTTGTATTTTTATTTCGTGTGTTTATGTATGCGTGTGTGTGCTTTTCCACATTGTCACTAGAGAGAGATATGGGTCAGAAGGACGTAAAGTCTTCACCAAGCAAAATTTTTTATTTTTTCAAGTAGAAATGAAATCAAAGAAAAATGTGGAAGGTATGCACAAGATTATACAGGATGATCTCTAAGAGTTATCTTAATGAAATTAATAAATAGTGTTGCAATGTATTTTTTTTTTTTTTTTTTTTTTTTTTTTTTTTTTTTTTTTTTTTTCATATTTGATATCATTTTTCAAACATTTGGTTTGTCAGAAATTGAAATCAACTCTATAGAGATATACATTGTAACGAATCTATTAAATGCATAGGTATAGTTTTTACTTTTACTGCATGGGTGTAGCAGAAGATTGAAAACATGCTCGAAAACATTACTATAATATTCTGTTATTACAATTTATATATGAGTGTAAAAAAATATTGATCAGAACTATGTTTGTATTGTTTATTTCCCAGTTTGATTAGTAGTTTCTCTTGACAAGAGACTCAATTTTTTTTTAATATACGAAAATACATATAATTTTTGTTTCTAATTTCTAATAAAAACTTTCTTGTATAGAGTCGTAAAGGAAAAATTCAAAGTAAAGTCAACAAAAAAAAAAAGAATTTAGTAATTTGTAAACGTGAAAAAAATTAGTAAAGAATTTTTAGACTAATTACAAGCTTAGCTAACCTTCTTTGTAAGGTAAATCATGGTTCCTTTGATCATTTTTGCGAGACATGACATTTTTGTTCCACTTTAATTTTCTTGTCAGTTGCAATACATACAGGCTATGTTAACACGTATTATTATATTATTTAGCAAAAAAAGTATCAGCAGCGTAACAATCTCGTCTTGAAATGAGTAGACTACCCCAAATTTTGTTGTGTGAAATTCAAGGAAATGTTTAAAATCGCTAGAAATGCCATTAAATAGATAAGAAATCTAAAATGCATAGTAAAAAATGGAGGAAAACCTTAAAATCTACTGGCTAAGAGAATCGTGATAGGGTAAAAGTGAAGGGGGTGGGAAGATGAGGCTAAAAAGAAATGGAGCGTGAAAAATACGAGGAAAATATAAGTTAGAAAAAGAGGTAGGTGCAACAAAAAAACAAGACGTTTAAAAAATGAAAGGAATGAAAAGTTCGCTCCTTCTTCTCCTCGTTTTAGCGTAGTTAACCAACTTTAAACTTTTTCTAACGGCTCCCTTGGCTTGGAATATCATCACCAGCAAAGGGACCAAGCCATTTGGAAAATTGAAGCCACCTCAAGTACGTTACAACAAATAATGTTTATATTTTTAGCGGTTATGGGTAACTGCTAAACGCATTAGATAGAATAGACAAAATTTAATACAGAAAGTTATGTTTGATGAAAAAATTTAACTAGAATAGGAACACAGAAATTCTGATATAAAACTGGTGTACAAGAAAAGATTGGGTATAATCTTGTTCACAAATAAAATTTTTCTTGTAGCAGAGTAAAACCAAATCGGAATACGCTGCAAACGAAATGTAAGGCTGAAATAGTAAGTAGACCAAATGTTGATAGCAAAAGTTTTTAAGCTATATGACACCACTTATTGCAAGCTTTAAATTGCAGACAATAAGTTATTAATCAATGAGAATGAATTATCAGCCAGTATTCTGAAATGCTTGGAAGATCAAAGCTCTTTTTTTGTATGAATTTTTTTGCTCTTTTATTTATTTCATTGCGTATGTTACTTAAAACAAATTATTCATAACATTTGAAAACACATTTTAAAATAGACATAAAGTATTGTGCAGTACCAGTGAACACAAGGATCGACAAAAATTTCGAAAAGATAAATAAGATTCTCTTACGTGTATTTTGGTGCGTGTGATCTTACACTATGGCGCATTCTAGCAAGAGATGTAAATGTAATCTAATAAATTATTTTTTACGTTATTATTTGGCAACATGTTTAGTCAAATAAGCGTTCTTAAATCTATGTTTATTAAAAGCACGTTTTAACAAATAAGAATTTTCACGAAGTTTTAACTGCTTGACTAATGTTGGTATCTGTGTTTACTAGAAATTTTTTTCTTATCTCCATATCTGTCCTTGTACAGGGACAGCAAAAAGCATGAACCACTTTAAACTAAAATTTTTTATCCTTAGTAGAAGGTAAATATTGATTATTTATCACGGGAGAAAGCCAAAAAAGCTATTAAAAAGATTTCATAATCTGTTAATAAGATTATCGGATGTGTAGCGGTATAAATCAGCCGTAACAAAAAAGGACGAAAAAAAAAATTACACTGCACGGGACGATCAAATCAATGCATTTGAATAATCCTCCAAAGCGGAAAATCAGATTAGCTTTTTGGGAAAACGAAATTTGCAGCTGGGGTTTGCTTAATTGAATTTTCATTAATTCATGATCCCGTATACCAAAGTGGTCCAGTGTATGTTTCAAATATTCATCGCGTAACAAGTGGCCGTAAGACATGGACACCCGAAACCTATTTTTCCCTCTCCTCTAACTAAATTAATATTCCGTGGGCGCTTAAGCAAGCGTATCGGGTTTACTGCTCAAGTTAAGCCTTTGATTTTTCTTTACATACACCAAAAAATTTTGATTCATCATTTATTAGTCAGAATACCTCGTCTCTTGTAATTTTTGAACAAACAAATAACTATACTCTTCCAGTCATAGCTCACATTTCTGTATCTATGATAGATTACAATATTGTACACACGTTACACATCTGAGCTGATGGCATATCATTTTTTTTTCGATAAACTCACGTGGATTAAAAAAAAGCACATTGGAAGTAGCAGCACCAACGCTGGCAGGTGACCACATGCACCACAACAGATTCAAAATCCAAAGAGAGATCAAACTGTGACCACTGCCAACGAAGAAGGGAGGAGATACACACAGAAATGGAATACTGGGTATAGGTGGATAGGTTGCACGGATCCTCGGCGCAGGCTCACGGAGCCCCTACCGTGCGATGGGTGGTAGGGATGGTAGAAACAGCACCGCAAGAAGCCATCCCTTCCCCTCATTGCCTCCCACATGTGAGGAAAGAGAAGAAGTGGGGAAAGAGAATTGCATGGTCTCTCTCGATCCAGGGGCTTGCAAGGTCTAAAGCTTGGGCTGTTGTCGCAGTCTTCGCCGGCGGCTTTTCATTCGAGGAGGTAACCCACTTTCACTTCTTTGCGCCACACAGTGAGTATGCGTGTGAAAATCTTTGACACTAAAAACGTGGGTAAACGTGAGTGATAATTTTAATAACAATAATATTATTAACAAAACGTTAATAGTAAGAATAAGAAGAAGAAAGTACATCAATTGCAATAGACATAGATTAGGAGAGCGACTGCAGTGATCGAAGATCGATTGAGTACGGCATGTCTGACCACAAGCTGACAGTTACTACTAGCATTTGGCTACGCTCTTTAGTTGCACCAGTGAATACGTGCAAAAAAATTGGTGTCTCATATTTACAGTGTAGTCCATAGAACGAAAGTTGCCTTGTAAATTATAGTACTCTGTGACATTTGCAGAAAGCTACTCAACAAAACATTGTAATTAAAATTGATTAGCGATATAAACCAGTCCAGTTTTCAAGTTGTGCACAACGTGACACTGGCTAATGTTTTTTTTTTTTTTTTTTTTTTTTCATTATTTTCGTTTTTATTGTGAATTTTTCCCACATTTTGAGATTCATACGAGCACATGTGAGGCATCAGAAAAATGTATATCAAACGTAGTGCTCTAACGTGGTGTGTATCACGTGATGATGTGTCGAGTGGCTGTAGTATCCCTAAAATAAAACTTCCTAAATGTGTGCGTATTATTGGGTCAGCAGAAACCAGTATTTTTGGACAGCTGTCATTATCGTAGTAGACAAAGACGCTGAAGAGGACGACGCAAGGAAATCGAGACAATAATCATAAACAGAAGAGATGAGAAGCGACGTCGGGACGATATTCACCATCAACGTGAGCAGCACGACAAGGAGATGGCTATTGTCGCTACTGGTGCTTTGTGCTACGTGGCTCTTAGGTTTGTATCTAAAAGAATCGGGGCTAAGGAAAAACTTGGAGCAGCTCATGTTCTTCTCGATGTGGCTCTATTGTTGTACTGGGTTGTTTTCATCATCGTCGTTACCATGAAATATGATACGTGCGAGAAATGAGAAGATACGGTTTTATGGCCTGTCGTAATTATGGCCAATCAAGTCCAATTATAGTCATCGTTTATGTGCTTTATTTCGTAGATGTACAGAGAAAATGTATCGATGGTACTTAAATCATTGAGTTTTTCCCTAAAATTCATTGTAATTTATTTCTCTCTGCTCTGTGAGCGTCCATTGGATTTTTGAGGCGTACAATGATGGAAACTGCTTTAGAAAGATATTCATTAATTTGCTCTTATTTTGTAAAAAATATGTACTGGGTAAGGTTACTTTTTTAGGGAAACTTTTGTCATAGTTAAATGGTCTTCAAAATACTTTCGTCAATATTTCATTTTCCTCAGAACGTTGCATCGTTTTCTTTCAGTTTGTGATGAAAAGAGAAAGTCAAGACAGAGTGAAAAATACGTACTATCCATGATTATAAGAAAATCTTTTTTTAGCCAGTTTCATTTTCAGTTAAATAAACTTTGTTGTTTAAAAAAGTAATAGACATTAACTTCATGTTTGTGGGTTAAGTGTGAGAGAAAAAAAAAGAGAAGAAAAATAATTTCCTCCAAATCGAAATTAAAGACAATTGTACAAAGCTCTTTTCAACTCGCTGAATCGAGAAGTTTGACAATTTCGTTTGATCCTGTAGCTGCTAACAAGACTGTCGACGAAAGGGGTGGGATCTTTTTTACTTCCCAAGAGGTAAAAAGAAAACGAGTAGAAGGAAAATTCAGACAATGAAAATCGTTGCCGTTACCTGTTCTGGCGTGGATTTCTCGAGTAACGCAACTCACGAGTAACCCAGATATCGATTTCTCTTGCGCGTAAATGGTGATACCTATGAAGGGCAAAAAATTACAGCATGCTATATAAGGCGCTTACTCTTTACTGTAAAGTCAAGTTTCTTACTCGTGTTTTTTCATAAATAATACTTGCAAGGCTCGTGACTTGACTAGTGCATTTAATACAAGGGACCTTCAGTCTTATACTTGTGTATAAGTACTGTATAATTGTACTACTTTATATGACATTATTGCTAAGCATTGTTAGCATAAACTCGTGTACTCGGTTAATTGGGAAATACAGTAAAAGCCAATGGATGAAAGGTTTTTAGTTCCCATTCATAATATTTGACAACGGACGTAGCTTTCATGGTGTACTCTTTATCATGTGTAGAACCTGAAAAAACAATTGCGCCAGGCAGACGTACGTACATGTTTCACAAAAAAAAGATGAAAAAAATATAACCATTTGATGATTCTCTCAACCTGATACTTCTTTCGTTTTTAAGGCGGACTCAATAAATAGTGCATACTAACGTTATCAGCAGTACACATAATTTGGGCGCGTCTTGACACATGTTTACCACCATTTTCCTTTGTCTTAGATTTTGTTATCTGATGCCTCTCTGATTTTACCATACTTTTGCCTTTTCCCTTTCAAAGCCTAAAAAATCGGTAGGTTAACCCTCATACACACACAAGCCTTTCCGAAGCAATCATAAATATACGCTCACGCATGCTCGCTGATGTGCTAGATGACAGCGCGTGTGTATACACCAATAAATATAGCACGCAAACATTTACTTATGCTGGGAGAGCCTATAAAGGAGATCTTACGTGGGAACGAGTACACGCACGTTGTCCTACACCTACTTGTGAGGGAAGGGGGCTAGATGAACCAACGCAGGGTAGTCGTAACACGTGCCAAAAACTAGTTGTAAGTGTAAGCATGTTCGAACTCTCATATGTGCGGGTGAGTACTTGCCTCTGCTAAGCTGCAGGGCATAAGCTGTTGGTTTGCATTTGCGGTTCTGCGTACAAATAGGAGAGCTTTGATCGTACGAGATCTGTAGAAAACCGATAGTGTTTAATATGCTCGTAACTATATTCAATATGGGTATTTCTTTGCGACACACCTTGTGTTTTTCAATTTTTTTTTTTTGATGAATTTTTACCAATGAATATCTTTGCTTTGTTTAATAAAGCATTTGCAAATCACTTTTTTTTAATTTTAAAAAATTTGGTAAGCTAATTTCATAGTAAATAACACGTAGGCACTCTACTTTAGAGAAGTTTAATGCTTATAAATGAGGTGATGACTTTATCATGATATTTAGAGGGGTGGATGTAAAAAGGGTATAAGACGAGCCACGAGGGTCAGATAAGATTTTAAATTGCAAATTTTCGTTTTAAACACTTAGTTTTACTCATTCAATTTGCATACTCACATATAATCCACAATCTGTTCTTGTGACGCGTTTAGGCGAGAAAAAGAGCGTGATAATATTCCCCAGTGGGAATCTTAATACGCAAACTTTAGCCCAGGTGTTCTAAACTTTTCGTAATCTCATTAATATCACTAAATACATTATATATTTACGCCCTATTGAATATCAACTACCAAATTATGGATTCTTCAGATATGGCTAATATTTTAATCGAAAAAAATATTTATCTCGTTTATCGAGTTATAAAGTATCGTTCCTTTTCTTTTGTTTCTTTGTATGTTTTCAAGCCTTATGTGATCCTATTGTAAATCGTCCTGATTAAGCTTCCTTCCACTCAATATTTATGTACAGCCACCGAAAACAAGAGGCTCACCTTGATCCAATATTCTTCCTATCGTATTCGACTATTTCTAGCATGTGTTTTTATGTATAGGGTTTAACGTATCCCAAAGTCGCTGTAATTCTTCCATCTGTGGTGCTACATGTTTTTCGAATAATACACTCGCTTCTACTTTTTTTTTTGTTTTTTGTTTGTACATCAATTGCAATAGACATAGATTAGGAGAGCGACTGCAGTGATCGAAGATCGATTGAGTACGGCATGTCTGACCACAAGCTGACAGTTACTACTAGCATTTGGCTACGCTCTTTAGTTGCACCAGTGAATACGTGCAAAAAAATTGGTGTCTCATATTTACAGTGTAGTCCATAGAACGAAAGTTGCCTTGTAAATTATAGTACTCTGTGACATTTGCAGAAAGCTACTCAACAAAACATTGTAATTAAAATTGATTAGCGATATAAACCAGTCCAGTTTTCAAGTTGTGCACAACGTGACACTGGCTAATGTTTTTTTTTTTTTTTTTTTTTTTTTTTTTTTTTTTTTTTTTTTTTTTTTTTTTNAAGAAATTCGTTTGGCGAATTTGTCGTCAATTTTTTTTCTTCTCTTTTTAATTTTCATAATTTTCCAAATTCACGTGGTTGTTGAAATAATACCATGCCTATAGGCAGTAAGTATCGATATCACAACAACAACGTCATTATATGTATATCAGCAAAAATAACATTTTCCGCCCTCGGGTGGTTTTGGGAGGCTGGTACTTCCTCGGGCGAAAAAGCAGTTTTCCGGAACTCGTTCGAAAAGTCTCCTTTACGAACCTCGTTACGTCCCTCGCCTTCGGCTCGGGCCGCAAACCTCTCGGTTCGCAAACAGAGACGTTTCAAACTCGTAGGAAAACTACTATATCGATACATACATATAATGTCTTTTCCACACTAAGCACTATCTTCATCGGCTTGACACTCGATTTCGATCAATCACCTCGAAAAAACAAATCCACTGTTACTTTTCCTCTTTTTTTATTAGCTGCAAATATTATGATAGGATTACAGTAGATGTATGGACATGTGACCAAGTACCGACAAAATCTAGGGAAGTGCACACACACTCGAGAGCTAAAGAAAAGTAAAGAAAACTCTTAGGTTAAAGAGGCTTTGTGCAAGTAGATTTTATAGGGAGTTTCTAATCCTCTCTTTGTTCTTACTATCCAATAAGAATTTTTACATCGACATACGATACATGCACGCACGTGAAATAATTGTCCTGAGCTTTAAGTTTCTCTTTGGGGGTTTCGTTTTTCCTAGACAGGAATTAATTTTTTCTTCAATCCATTATTCCAGTATGTCTTTACTTTAACTGTACGCAGCTATCTATCACTGCATTGTCAGTGATGATAGTGTGACATATATTATAGACGCTCGTGTCCGACCATATTCAGGATCCGTTCTCATCAAGCATGTGTTGAGTGATGCTGGTAAGCTTTTAAAAATTTGGTAGTTTTTATCTCTTGAATCAATCTATGCAACTATTCGCTATTCCACACTTTTTCTCTGATTTCTTCAACATACTCCGTACACCTTGTAAATAAAACTGCGTTTACACACTTTGTCGGTGACCTCCTTTATATTTTAGTCAAAGCGCTTTAGTAAATATTGACAAAGCGCAAGCCTTCTCTCTGCGTTCAATTTTCCGTCCCACATCCAACGCAACGCTTGAAAGTGTCAAATGCAAGTTGCACTAGAGTACCATAATTCATGAATTTTTTTTTTTTCGTCAGAAAAAAAATTTCGTCTCTCTTCTCCGAAATAGCATTTGACACCACTGACACGATGGCTTCAATGTTGAAAACGTGGGATGTGTATTTTAGGTTTTGAATAGCAACAGTACCGCAACGCTGCGTTTGACACATCTTTTTTTTTCTTATAAAAATATTCATTTTAACGTAAAAAAAAGGATGGCCATTAGTTTTACGGTAGTCTTCTCACATTGAAAATTAATTACAGACATCAGTGTGCGTGATTTTTCGTAAAATCTCAGTTGAAAATCAGGTTTCATTAAAAAAATGATATTACGATAATGGGATTGTTAATAATTATTCTTTAAACAGCCAAGAATGGTATGTATTGAGCCATTTGAGATACAACCGAGTGAAGGAATATCAAAGACAATAAGTTAGCTGAGCTCCACAAAAGATAATAACCTAGGAAACAATAAATTAAAATCAATGCATGATTCCCTCAATTTTTAAGTCAATGTACAGTACTCAATGCTTTGAGAACAATAATGGAAAAGCTTATTTGACTTATTATATACAAAGTGTAACTGCGAATTTTGAAAGAAACTCTTCTTTTAAATTTCCATTGGTATATCATTATTTCTCGTTTTACTCCGAATCAATAAATTTTAATAAAAAGACATAATGAGTTTTCCGACGTACTTCAACTTTCTCGGCCGTGCCTTTACATTTATAGACACACTATTGAACATTTATGCACCAGCGTGTCCCACAGAATATGCCAAGGCACGTATCTTGCAATACCTAACTACATACACACACTTTGGGAAAAGTGAAAAATCAATACTATTTTTCGTAATTTGACAAAAAAACCATCAACTAATAAAAAATACTTTGAAATCTAGTAAAAACTAATTTTTGCTTTTTACAGATGCAGTGGAGGCTCTGATGATGACGAACCTGAAGATACCCACGCACGTAGTGCAAAACCAAACTGTGCGGATGGAGTGCGAATTCGACTTGGACGGGGAGCCCCTGTACTCGGTCAAGTGGTACAAGGACGGCAACGAGTTTTATCGCTACGTGCCAAACGAGCGACCCGACGTCCACGTCTTTTCCCTTCCTGGCGTTAACGTTGACGTACGTATAATTCATGCATAATACTGGGACAGCATGGTGCTGAAAAAAAGCTTTTCATTATTATTTTCAATTTTTTCCCCGGGAATTGTCCTTTTTTTCTGAAGCTTTTCATTTTTCTTGCTATTTTATTCGTTTCTTTATTTTTTCCTCCTTTCCTGCAGTCACACATCTCGAGTATCTTCTCCGCAGTGAGCTAAGTGCAATAGATAGTTAGAGCAGATTATAGAAGGGACAGTTGCGAGGGATTTAACAAAGTATAACATTAAGAACTGAAAGGAGACTCTCATGACGAGCATTATTACGTGGGCTTTTACGTGTTATGGGAAAAAATGATTGTGTTACATTAAAGGTATATTGTGTTCTGAAAAAAGGGTAAAAAATAAAATACGTACATTAAAATGTCATTTTGATGCTAGTAGACTTCGAGAGCTACAGATTCATGACAGCATTATATGCATCTTTCTCGTTTTTACTTGTCATGATCCTTTTATGGGTTAGAACAAAAAAAGCTAATATCGATAGTCGTCGGTATGTGTAATCAAATTTTATTTTATTCTGCACTTATTTATTTACAGTAATGGATTTGTTATTAAGATTACTGACCAATTTTCAAATTATATTTTATAAAACTACATTTAATAAAAGCTTTGCTAAAACTCATGATTCAGTTCAAAAAGGCATCTGAATAATACGAAATTGCTGCAAGTCTATACATATTATTGGAGCTTTTTAATTTTAAATCGGACTTGTCTTTTGTCTTTGGTTAGTCTTTGATTGACAGAGATACTTATAAGCTTATTTTTATGCATGGCTCATTTTTGAATTTTCTAAAAGGTCATCGTGGGATTTTGGAAAACTCTCTCTCTCTCTCTCTCTCTCTCTCTCTCTGTGTGTATCTTCACTTTTACATTGGATATTATTTATTCTTGGAGTATTGTTTTTATTAAATACTACTATTTTTAGTATTTTACTGTTGTTTTACTAATTATTTACTTATTCAGTAACTAGAATTCAATATAATAATATTTACTTTTACTGGTTAATGTTAGTCAACCACTCATGTACAACAGTGTACTACAACCATTTTTGTTGAGGTCAAATAGGATTCTATCGCTTGGCCCTTAAAATTAATGATTGAGATTTAAAAAATCTGTACTCCTCTATTGGGTGAAAAAATATGAATTCTAGTGTACTATGTGTATGATAGACTTAGATCTACATAACGGTATTTTTAACATAGAAATTTATTATGTACGTAAAATCATGTCCACACTACAAACGATGCCATCACTAAACGGGTGCAATATATTATTCCCTCCTCCCAAAATGCAACTTACGGGTATTAAATGTTCACATGATTCCAAGTACTTGCGATCGAAATTTTTCCAAAGCAGCTTTCTCGATTTCATAAGTTAAGTACGTCGTCACGTGAGTTTTGATGGCTTTCTCGTTAGTCCCCCACTTACTAGTTTGAAAAGTAAGGGGGGGAGCATACCTGCACGCTTGGGAGAGCGCTGTGTAATCGAATTTTGCGCTGATCCGATGAAACCAGGCAATTATTAGTCATCCGAACTCTACCCACCTACACGGTACAAGCCAGAATTTGCGTGCGTTATCGAAAAGCGAAATACGGCCTGTTAACGCCAGAATACCCACTTGCAATCTGTAGAGAAAGTTATTTCTAAAAACTCTGGAAAAGTAAAGTTAAATAAACAACAAGTGCTTATAGTAGTCGTGAATGCCTTGAGCTTTTACCAATATCTTAACAATTAATAAGCTTACTTCTCAAAGATCTGCTCGATTTACTGCTCTCAGAGTGTATGTAAATTACTACAACTTGTTTCTAGTGCTGGTAATTTAGTTCAAGTATTCACTGGTTGATTTATTCAGGCAGTTTATTTTTATACATAAATGTGTGGTTACTTATCCCAAAATCCGTGCTCATGCGTCATTTACGAAGCAAGTTAAACATTTATGTAAAATTTATACTGAGAGTATTCAATACAAAAAATTGGAAGTTTTCAGGGAAAAAACAGTATAGAAGAGAAAAATTGACAATAATTTCACTCGTCAATCGTTCACTGATCTTTTCTATACTGTGTGCTAGCAGCTTAAACCACAGATAAGTATAGTTAGCCAACTTAAAATCCACAATCATATGTCATTCTTGATATGTTTTTGTGCATGGATACAACGCAGGTATACCATTACTTTGTAAAATATTAAAAGTACGCGTGTGGCCTTTGACAATAATATTGAACTATTGTTAAAACAGTCGTGGGTTATAATAAACTCGGCCTGGGTGCACAGTACAGTACATGTATGTGTGTGTAGATAGTTTAGGCCTGTTTTTTGTTTAACAACCTCGTGACCTCGTTTACAGTAAAAGTAAAATTGCAGAGACCTTAGGGTACATAAGTATTCTCAAACAGAAAAGGACAGATACAAAGACAAAAGTTTACTCTATAAAATTGATCACTCACTAGTGTATACAGTGCAACCTTTCAAAAGTATAGGGTGCCAGCAAATATATAATATTTGCCCAGAGTTTTGCGAGGAACTGGATTTCCGGGAAAAATGAGAGCTGATCCTTATCATCACATGTGCCACTCTTTCTCGTGCATGTACCCATCCCTGTCTCTTTTTACACCCACATAGAGGGTTTTTTTACTTGAGGCGATGAGGAACTTTTTTGAAACATGTATTATAACAAAGTAAAAATAACATTAAGATTATGTAGGCCATTTGCTAAATGTATGTATACAAACACTGAAACTCTTGTAACAACTGCTACTGTTGTTGGACACATGGCGTGCACTGATTTTTAACTGACCCTCTGAATTGGAATAAAGTGCGTGCGGGGTATCTGAAAATTTGCCGTTCCCGATTTTTTATGGATATTTCATTACGTGCTATGCCCTTTGTTTAAGCTGCACAGCAACATAACAGATTTATTTATTGCGGAGAGGATACCGTGATATTGATCTCTGTAAAATAAAGTATCATTGCACGAAATTTTCCACCAATCATCGATTATTTCTGCAACCAATGAGCTTCATACGTATTTGCAGACAATTGGCATATGTGTAGTTTAAAAAACGCCCACTGTACTATTTTCTCCAAGATAATAAAATTTCAGACGTACACTGACCGCATTCTAAAAACGGTTCATTTCTTATAAAGAATTTGGACCAATAATTGGTAAAAAATTTTGCTGTACCTGGAAGTTTCGAATTGTCGTCGTTGTTAGCTTTTTCTTGTGTTTTAAATGAAATTGTTTCAGTGACATATTTCTCATAAGGCATACTATCAATTGTGCACTTCCGTTAGCACGTGGTGTACTTAATTCTTGCATTAAAATTTTCTTAAAAATGTCAGCAAATAATTTGAACTTCATACTTTTAATGTTTAAATTTTAAAAAGGCAAAAAGTAAAATTTTTAATAAATTACAACCAAAGAAACTCCTTTAAAAGCATTCAGAAATTGTAAGAAACATTTCGTTCATAAATGACTCTATCGCGTATTGATGAATATTATCGAATAAAAAAATAAAATATATGTCTAAAACAATAAGTAGAATACTTGCTGGATATAAATGTAACGTGATAAATCATAGTTAATCCAGTATACGTTTGTTAAAGAAAAAAAACATAAATTAATAATTTATATATACATATATTTAGAAATAGAGTTGGACAATTCATAGTGCTTTTAAAACTGATTACCTTGGCCATTACTCGTACATCTGGCTTCTTGTATAATTACTACACTTCTAGTCCTCTGAGAGCCAAAGACCAGAGCAGTACAAGAGAGATACTCATTGCAAAAAGTGATAATAGAAAAAAGTTCAGACATTTACAGCAGCAGTGAGAGAAAACAGGCGCACCTTAGGAGGAAGAAAGTCAAGTACGTGATTCGATGGTTAATTTGGGTGTCAAAATCTCGTCTTTCGATCGAGGACTTTTCTGAGTCATTCTACTTTTTTGCTCTCCCGAAGCATCAACAGTCAGTGCCTGCCTTCCTTGCATGCATACACACTCCAATTGAGATACAGTAAAGAAAAAAGACAAGGGGTGGGATAAGGCTATCAGGGAAAAAGCAGAACGAGTAAACGGTAGAAGCAGAATATAGCAGCGGGCGCGTCCTCTGTTCTAAAATGCCTGGAACCTCGTAATTTTCCTCTGCAGCAACACTCTCATCCTTATCTGTACGTGTGACTGGTTGAGAAGAAGGTGGCGGTAGTGAGAGTAGGGGGTGGGAAAGAACCAGCGGCCAGCCCCACACTTTCGCTTGTCGAGCAGATAAGAATGTGCAGGGACACGTTCCATTAGTTTATGGAGGCTCTGTCTCTTTTTGCTTTCACTTTTGCGGTTTCCTCTCTCCCCTAAGGATGGCTAGTCCGAGGTTATGAGTTGGTGAGAAACGACGATTTTTGCAGTTGCTCGAGAAAAATATTTGCAATGAGGAGGAAGACGTTTCTCTACTGTAATATATGTGCGATGAAAGTCTGGGCCTCTGACAGTGGAAGATCAAGCTTTCGTACAAGCCAGAAATGTAGGGATTTTGGTAGAGAGCCAGACATCGTTGAATGGGAGGAGCAAGAAGGGCATCCACTGATAAAAATATTTGGCTGTTCAGTGGATAAAGATTGAAATTGCAAATGTGTTCTTTACTAATGTAAGCTCTCCTCGGGTAATAATTTTTACTGTTTATAAATAATTAGTAAAACACTTGATATTTATATGAAAGAATTAAAGTAAGCTTGTAAAAAGCTAACATATTCATGTGTTGTATAACCATATACTTCCTATTTATTTGGTAAAATTGTGGCAGTACTTGATTAAATATTAAATTACTGTTTAATTTAGCCACTTGTTGAATTGAAATGAAGTTAAATGCGTTTCATGCCATACAAAATCGCCCTAGTTTGGCGTCTGATATTTTAATTTTAGCATACAATTGAATTAATGTACGAGCATCCTGGATACAAGGAGCTTGTATTACAAAATACTTGTAAAATATATTTTAAACCAGCATTCCATTTTATCCATAGTTATTAAAGCGTCAGATTAATGTATTAAATTCTGCATGAAATATAAATCAATGTTTTGTATCTACGTCGCAGTATAAAAAGAATTTCTGTATGCCTTCAGAAATTGAACACTGCGATTTTTGTGTCCAAAACAAACTGAAGATTGATTTCTTCACATTGTACTGGGGTAGAACTGATGCATTGGCTTTCAATTGAAAGAACCATTCAAAATAAGACTAGCACGTACATTTTTACTCATACAAACACACTTCCTCGTTCTGTGTATCACTCAGTGGTAGTCTTACAACACCTGCTTCTGAGTAAGTATAAACTCAAAATTGATAATTACAGATTAGTATTATTATTCATAGCTCATTTTATTAGGGAAACGTTGTGATCTTACTATAAAACTATTTTGGACAAACAATTTTTTCCTCATTTTATAGAATAAGAATATATGACATTGATCTTCTGAATTCTCTAAGATGTGTCAAGAAATACAGACACACGTTCGACATTTTTACCATTTACGTTGTAAATGATCGAAAAGTCTCTTTTACAATTTTAAAAAATCAAAAATCACTCTCTTCCATTCTACCTCTATCTTAGTACGTTTTCGTTTTTATTTTTCAGAAGCACAGCTCCTCGGAACGATCGGTCGCCATCCACCGAGTAAACCTCGACAGCAGTGGCCGGTACAGGTGTGAGGTATCCGGCGAAGCGCCTGCCTTCGACACTATTTCGGACCACAGCGATTTGGTCGTAGTCGGTCAGTATACCCGCTTATTATGAGCATAAACGTATATGCCACACATAAGTTTAAGTGCAAGAGGAAGAAAAAGAACTTTGAGATTAACTTTATCATATCTACTACCTTCATGAATTTTTACTATACTTACTTTGCATGCAACAAAGGAGGTTACGTGATGCAGGGTACTAATACGCATAAATCTCTCTCGTTACACTTATACGTGTGTATACCACGACGTTTAATCAGGGTATCTTCGACATTCTGCAATTTTTTTTCTTTCTTTCTCGGTGTTTGTTGGGTTTCGCATTCATACAAAGGGATAACGAGCAATTATTCCTCCTTTTTCATACACTTATCGCTGTGTGTGAAATTGCTGATCGGAGAGTTACAAAATTTTTTTTTCTCACCTCGTGGGTGGTGCGACATTCTCTACCTCTCTCTTTTATTATCGGACTTTTTCTCTCTTATAGTGTCCTTTTCAATGTAAGCTCTTATCGATTTGCATAAAGGTTGGATAATGGAGGAGAAACGACTAAGTTTTTGTCGTTTTGCTTCTTTCCACGAACGATAACCCATCGATAATATTCAAATTAACCGTGACGTTGGTGAGAAGATGGGAAATTTTTGGCACCTTATGCTGATGTTGGCTGGCCTTTAAAGCGATACAGGGAATCATTTCCGGTGAAGCAGAGTTACTTAATGCAAATGACTCTCTGAGAGCAAGTTCTCACGTGAGTCCTAATAAAAAAAAAAAAAAAAAAAATCTGTGTGTGTACACGTATGTTTTTGTTGGTGTGTGCTCGCGTGGAAAAAATTAGACTGCCATTTTATCTATTGTCAATAATTTACGACTTGAGATTTTTGTTCTTTTATTGGATAATACGTGAGAGTAACGATTCAGACGAACTTAATCATGTCCACAATTAAACGAGATGTTAAACTTAACCAAAAATTTTTAATTTTTGATCCACCTCAAAGTCTTTAATTCCAATTATAGTTTATTTTTCATTTGTCAATACACTTTTGGGTAATCTTTGAGTTGAAAATATTTATATATAAAACACAGTTCCTTTTCTTATTATTTGTAAATTGGAAAATCAATTCGTAATTAAAAAATATTGATTTAAAAATCAGATGTCGATTTGAGAACCGTACATGTGCGTCTGTGAGTTTGTGTAACTGAATACATGATTCGCTTACGTTAACATTTTTTTCTTGAAAGGCTCAGTAGTAGTGTTGGTCGAATATTGCAGCTGAAAAAAGAAACACAGTAGGAAGCATACGTAGTGGCATACTTGTAATCTCCTTTCAAAATGCAAAAAAGTATTCTAAAAGTATCGAGAACCTGTACGCACCATTACTGCAATTTAAAAATGTTATGCTTGAAAACAAGAGAAAAAAACAAGTTTTGTATCAGAGCTACACCTAAACTAAATATTAAAACTCACACTTGCTTAATTCATCTACAAGCATTTTAAGTCACTGTGGTATTTTCCGATTCATTTGGCTGCTGGTGACGCTGCAGTGCTGCCGAAGGACGGGCCGATAATCAGCGGAGGCAAGTCGAAGTACCAGCTAGGCGACCTGGTGCGCATGAACTGCACGTCAGCCCCGTCGAAGCCACACGCCACCCTGACGTGGTATATCAACAACATCGAGGTGAGTCATTAATTTATACCAGGCCATCAGCACTGCCTCGTTAATTCAGCCCCGCGCAACCACAGCTATACGGGCCACGATCTATTACCTCTATGTACCATGTCCCCCTTGTTTTTTTACTTTTTATCATTAAAAATAGATAGGGTGACTGGCACATTTTTTTCGTTCGAAAATGTTCTAAATAATCGACGTATAGGCGTAAGGTTCATCATTTTTCAGGAAGTGGAGCTTGTTGGTATGACGGTAGCCTTCGATTATTCATTATTGCGATTAATTATTTTTCGTTACTAAAGATCAACCTATCAATGTCTTCGAGGCTACATTAATCACTGCAAGCGTGATCCAAATATCGTCGTTTTCCCTACAAACTCAATTTTAATTTATAAAAGTATCTCAACGTCATTTATTTTACAATTAATCTTTTATTCCGATAAAAACTCGGAAACTCTCGTATTTTCTACATGAAAAGCTAAGTTTTTTCGCGCACATTTAGTGACTGGTTATTTCTGTTTTTCATACAACAGTCTGACGTTAATTTTCGGCTTATTATGGATATTTGAAAATTTTTTCGACATTTTGAACATATATTCTATAACTAATAAAATTCAATTTCCAACAATTCGTACACATACTTGTGAAAATAGTATAGGTGTACACATAATCGTCACGGGTATAGTTGGTTTGAATAAATTGAGTAAATAAATTTTTGATTAGTCATATGCCGCTCATATAATTAAAAATACCGGTATTACTCAATCAAAAGTGGAATCAGATTACTTTTTAAATCCAAGTTATGTCACAGGAAAATACGGAATAATTTTTCCAGTCCTCTGTTAGACAAAACAAGATAAATAAATCAAACGGTATTGCAAATATCATTATAAATTCACTTTTCAGCGAGTAGGCAGACATGTAAACGAAAAAGATTACAACATTTTTAGTCAAAAGTGTGTCAAGAAAAAAAAATAAGAAAATCTTTCCATTCCGTTGCGATTCACTGATTTTCCCCTATCCACTCGTAGATTTAAGCTTTTTACTAGCTCTAAGATCCACTCTAACTTTTCTATCCTTTGAGGCCCAAATTAGGAGGGACGCACGGATGCATAGCTATATGCTATCGCACGTAACTTATACTGATATTATAACAACTGTAAAAATGTAAAGTAATCATCATTTTTCATTCATATACACGTCCCTGTACACATTATCGTTGTATCCAGCAATACATGAACTTTTTGTACCCTATACAAGGATAAGAAAACAGAGAAAGAGTGCAAAAGAAAGGGTCTAAATGTAGAAAGAAAATCTTTTGCCCATCTCAGCCGACGAAATAAGTATTCTACACTAAAAAGACGTTTACGTACATCGTGGAAAACGATTTATCCATACCCTCATACATTTCATTAATCGTATGCGTAATTGGATCAAGCTTCCAAGTATCAACTCTCATAGGTGTATCCATTCATTTGATAATTAATTTTAGCATTATCGTACTTCCCATTTACGTCACTTCAATGCCACAGAAAACCTTCATAATAAGTTGTTTATGAAAATTCATTGCACTAACAACAAATTCATTACTATTTTCATTGCAATTCAAATTCATTAAGAGTACACTATTTAATCAGACGTTGGTAACGTATGGTAAAATAAATATTAAAAGTTACTCGTTTACACATATCTGTCATGTTTACCTTATTTAATATTGCTTCCCGTTCTATTTAAGTACAAATTCATTTCTGAAGGAAAACGCATATTGATTTAACGATTAGTTTTACATTGATAGAGAGTATTCAATCAATTATATTGAAATACATTACAAACCCTCTTCAGTGCTTATTAAATTCATCAGTACCTATGTACGTACACAAACATATTTGATGTAATTTCTCGATACAAACCGCTGATTCCACGTAACTTTACGATAGCAAAGTGTACAGTTAAATATACATTTTTAGTTATTATCAAAAAAGTAAAGAATTTCAGATTTTTTGTGCCATACGTTTTGACACTTAGTATGCGAGGAGAGTGTTCTAATAAGCTCTCGTAATGACCGGCAATCCGAAAATTTTGACACACAAATTTTGCTGTCACTAAAAGTAATAGTGACATTCATGCTTACACGTTATTCCACTTTGTGGAAGAAACTAACCTGAATCTAAGAATATGGTCTTAAAACTAGGTTCTAACACATAATGGTTGGCAATCAGTTGAAAGTACAGCAAAGAATCGTACGAAAGAAGAAGTCTTATAGAGTAAAATCATTACAATGACGCAAAAAAATAATAACTACAGCTAGATAAGGCTTCTATTATTTCACTTAATCTCTGGGATAAGGATAATAAGGATAAAAAAATTGTAGTTTCGGATTGTAAGGCCGACATTTATTCCAGTATCTCAACATCAGTAGTTTTAAGTGTAATTTGTCCGCATCACTGTATGGAGAAATTGAACCCTTTTACTAAAATAAAAGACTGCTATATGACGCACGTCATGTAATTAGTATAACTTTATGGCTATTGAAAATCTAATCTTTTTTATACAAAAACTTGGAGTTATTGCTATAAATTCCTCTGTTTGAAACATCCAGTTATGATTTTTTTATCATCATCAGATAGCTAGTACACGTATAATAAGTACATACAATTGCTACTGCGCATATGAGTTACTTCTCCTATCCCCAAAACCCCAAAACCAGAACGCGCTATGCCCAGAAGCGGTAGAGCTTAAACTATTTTCCAGGTAAAAGTTTGCTGTACACGATCGCAATGCGTGCATGGCTCAAAGGAAAGTTCTCCCATCATAGAATACATTTTCGTCCCTCTCCTTCTCTCAAATACAAGCGCTACGTGTGACTTTATTACATTCTCCTATCTGGGAGATAAGGACTGAAAGCTCGGCAAAAAGCAGAGTAAAGCGTTTATTGTTGGTTGTTTGAAAAAATGGTTTTGAAGTTGAAAGCAGAGAAAGACAATTTATTAAAACTGATTCTATCGTGTGACACAAAGAGACAGAAATTTATGAACAACGTATAAACGTTATGCGTCGTAATTCAAAGAAAAAAGAAAACTAATTTAAATATAAACATGGAAAAACAAAAATTTAGAGGTGTCAATGCTAAAGCAGTTAATTTTTAGAATTTAAAAGTAAGAAAGATTAAGAGATATAGACATTTAGAGATATCACCTGGAAGTTATAAGAATTAGCACTTATTAACCGATTAAAATAATTTATGATGAAACCTTCTTTTTTTTTCACTTTTTTCAGGTAAATAACGAAAAAATTAGGTTGTAATCCGTGTCATCAAGTTTTCTGAAGATCATCAAACTCGAGAGTCCTTCTCATCCTTCTTCTTTCCTTCTTTCGCTTGCTTTTGAAACTAAATACTGCTTTGCTTCGATATCATAGAAAGAGTTTTTGTCCTTGATCATTTAATAAGTCAAGAAAATCTTTGAATAAGATAAAATCGAGTGTACTTGTGAAAATTAGAACTTCTTTATTTTTGATGATGTATTTTGTTTTATCAGAAAAATAGCTTCCAACTATTGAGGCTCAACCACGAACAGATATGCTTATAGACACGCGGAAGACCGCTGTTCGATTCCCGGTTAGTGCAACTTTTTCGAGTAAGTCCTCTGTCCATTTTCACATGTGCTTTTTTTTCGCCACGCAATGCGAGAAGGGGATGGGCGATCTATTTGTAGAAAAATTTCCCATTTTGCCCTACCCCCTTTCTGTAATGAATGGCCTCCCATCCCTCTTCCTTTCTTTTTTTCAAGTGCTCAGTGCCCAGAGTAGTGCCCTTATTAAGAGCCGGGCGTATAGCTACGATAATAAAAAAAAAGTTATGCTTATGAATCTTAATTCTATAAGGAAGGCATGTCTGACTATTTGCATAACTGAACTACTTGACTTTTGCCTTGTATCAACTGTAATGAAAATATCATGTTTCACTATTGCTTATAGTCTTGCGTTCGTCTTAAAAAAAGGCACGTCTAATTAAACACACGATTGTGCTACTTGATATCTAGATTAGATATTGTACTTCCTAACTATTTTTAGTTGCTGTTTCATAATTATATATATTTTTAGGCATGAATTACCCAAATTCCCGTTTGTTTTGCGAAGAATGCACGTCTGACTAAACACATATCTGTTCTACTCAATGTCTGGTCTTGATATTTAATAGTTACTCAGTTCTACTTTGCAAAAGAAGAAATATAGCATTATATAGTTAAATAAAAATTTTGTCCTACCTCGAATGTTTTTTTTTTTTTTTTTTTTTAACATTTGGACGTTTACTGCGCCATTAGTATGGTAAATAACGTTTGTCACTGCAGTGTATTTATTCTGGACGATCATAAGAATCACTCGGTCATAACTTTGCATGCGTTCTCAGTAAGCATCCCCGTGATTGCCCCCGAAAAATTGTGCATCAGTTATGAAAATTTCTATTAAACCTCGTACTTATATGCACAAACAAGATCAGTCTGACCAAACACATGGTTGTACTACTTAATTTCTCATTAAAATTTTAAATTGTCACATAATTATTAGTTTCAATAGAAATATATCATGTATTAATGGTCGTAAGTTTTCAGAGTGTGTGCTCACACTACGAAACATCCACGGCTGATCAAACGCATGGCTACACTACTTTATATCTAGTTTTCATACTTAAATGTCATAATTTTCCTATTTTTTTACTTTAAACATATTTTATTGTTAGATGTGAACTTTAAAGCCACGTCTTTGTGGTAAAAAATATTTGGCTGACCAAAGGCATAGTTATTCTACTTAATATCTGGTCTTAATCGGTAACTGCTTGACTATTACCTCCCTGTAGTCGCTATAGTAATATTTAGTATTGTTTGGCATAAGCTTTTGTAACTTGTATTGAATTAACAAGTGAGGTACGTACGACAAAATGTATGGTTTTACTATACTTTTATGTTTGATCTTTAATCTGTTCTTATTTGTGAAAGCAAAAATATAATGTGGCTCAGTAGCACGCAAACTTTCAAAGTTTATAGACTTATGTGAAAAAATGTGTATGACGGTTAACATGATTGTTTCACTTATTATTTAGGTTAAAAATTCAGTTGAAAGGTTACAATCATTTGCATCATGGAAATCTCATTGATATTGTTGTACGTAAACCTTTAATGCATTGTTCATGCTCCAGTTGTTTTTGTTATTTTTTCAGTTTTAATCTACTCGAGGTGTGGGCTTACGGAAGGTGTAAGAGAAAGTGTATATGTACAGTAGCTTGTCCTAACTGCTCGTAACTTTAATCCATTTTGTGTACATCTATGCAGATATGAGCATCGGTGGCGACAATACTTGATTCTCTAAATGAGAATTGCTCGCATCGATTTTTTCAACGTATATCGTTGTATGTTGATGAATCTGTACAATAGTAAAGTAGTCACAGACAGAATTCACGATTGCTAGACGCTGACAAGAAATAGAGTCTCTGATAAAGATAAAGATTTTTGATCTTTGTGCACTTAATTGTGTGTGCATACACTAAAGACAAATGCATAAAAGTATCTTCTAAAATAAAATATTTTCATCATAGTTCATCAATGAGAAAATATTAGCTGAAGCTAAAATTATCCGACAATTACTGGTTCATGTTGTTAGATTGCATATTTTTTCATGAGTGGCTCTACTTTTGAATGTCCCATTTTTTTTTGCAGTTTACCCAATTCAATTATAAGTTTCAATTGTCATACTTTTAACGAACAGAGATATTTCGTTATCTACTCCAGATCTTTTATATCGATTCAATATATACCCACTTTTAGTTGTGCAACACTTGGGCGCCCTTTTGACATCCATAGGAATATAACAAAAAAAAGTAATTACAGCATTGAATCAAATCAACTGCACTTCGTCAAGCGCATCTCGAAGTACTTTTAAGTGCCGCATCCCAATATCAGTAATAATTGTAACGAAGCTATGGCCCGTGTATACTTTATAACAAACCATTGGTCATTTTTCTGTGTCGCAGGTCACGGATAACAAGACGATTGGTCCCCGCAGCCACCGAATGGACAAGAATGGCCTGGAAATCGAAAAACTTGGTCTAAAGTTCGAGGTAAAGCCAAGCCACTTCCTGCACGGTGACATCCACTTCAAGTGCATCGCCACCATACCACTGGTGTACAAGCGCGTCGAGGAGCATCGGGTCATCGGCGACAGTAGCTTCTTCAAACAGCCACTGGAGAGCCGGGAGACACGAGCTCAGAGCCACGTGAGGAACGACAACAACGCAGGTATGTATATTTCTCGTATAACGTAAGATTATTACGCTGTAAAATATGTGTTAGACAGTATGGGATGGGTTTTCCTTTTTTTTACCAAGGAGCAGGGAGGTGGTGTGATGTGTACCCAAGCAGAAGCAGTGGCGTTTGAGCAAACTGCTCTGATTTGACGTCCGGGGAAATCTTGCCTTTATTCCCTCAGGCGTGACGTGATGTTTTTCTTACCCCTGTTCTTACCATCTTGGTCCGTGCCTCAGGGGGAGAAGAGGCATGAAAATTTTTATTTTACCGAGGAAAGTGCTGTCAATTTTTCGGATCAGATGCAGAAAGTATGGAGATCACGTAAAATAATACCCACTTTCTCAATATGTAATTTAATTGTGTTCGAATCATCGTGTTAACCAGCTGACATGTTGCATAAGTTGATAGCAGATACGTAAAATCAATACATTTAATTTTTTTATTTCACTTAGCAATGAATACACACGATTCAACAGTCATCCGCATAAGAAGATTTCTCTTTATTATTATTCATTGATAGGATTACGCTCATTCACTGCGATAAAATATGCACGCATTGGTTGAATTCCCAATTTTTACTATGTTTTTATTCATACAAATGCAGAGTAATTTAATTTAATACAATATTAAATCCACTGAGATCAACCTTTTTATTTAATCCGTGTGTACAAACAAAATCCTTAATAAAATAAACATTTCATTCTGCAAAATGGTCTCCATTAGCGATATTAATAATTATTCTGATGCTAAAAATATTAGTATTAATTAATTATAATGATTACAAAAAAGAAACTAATTCGCCCAAATAAAACACGTTTTCATGAAAATGATTGAGCCATGGGTCATACGATACACATTAAAATAAAGCAAGTTCACATAAAGCCCTATTCCCCAGCTCCCTTTTATCCTTTAAACGCGTGACATACTCCATAATCTTCAGTTCACTACAGCACAAAAAGGCAGGTGCAATGAAAAGTAGAACCTCTGAACGCAGTTAAAAAAAGGGAATGGCACGAGTTCTGTACGTTGCAGTAATGGTCACGCGTAAATTAAAACTAAGTCGCAACATCTTTTTGCACCTTGATAAATGAACGTAGCAGCGAAGGAGTAAAAGTATAAGCTGGTCGGCCATATATTCCATCGAGGCGAAGTAACCACATTTTTTGCCTTTCTGGTGGTACAAAAAATATTTGCATACACATACCGGAGATATTGCGTGATTTTTTCAAAACCTCCCTTTTCTTCCAGCAAATATGACTGCTTCTATTTTACTGAAAAAAAAAAAAAAAAACGATTTCCACGTATTTTCATGGTACAAGTTGACTCTAACACTCATGCTTTTTCGCTTATTTTTCCGCCCCGTTGTGACGTTTTTTCGCGCACCATTTTACGACTCAAAACGTAATCAGTATGTGTACAAATATGCATGCAAGTCTACTTGATTTCATTTTTTTTTCTTTTTTTGTTTTAGTGTCTTAATGCACATTTAGATAATTAGTAAAAATAATGGAAAAAACAAATACGTGGCATGGAAAGTACCTTAATGATAATGATATTTTTTTTTAATCAAACCTTTTTTTTAAAGAAAGAGGGCCAGTAATTATAAATGTCATAAAAGATTATTAGGAACATAAAACATCCTCAGTTGTTTATCGATCTTGTACTGTTCTTTTGTTAACCTTCATTGAAATTTGTTATCATTGATTTTTTAATGCCAGTCAGGCAGATTCTGTATATTCAAAATATTACGAGCAATAAGAATAGAGACAAAAAGGCAGTAAAGAATCCCGTCAACTCCCCGGCTTTGACGTTGGATTTATTTTACAATGGCCATTATATTTAAAAATAATTAAGTGTGCTCTTACTATTTTCACAGGTAATTTTGTAATCTGTTTCACGAATTTTCAAGCTTAGGTATATAATGAAAGAGTTGTGACCTTTTTTTCGCTCTCTTTTTTCCCTGCACTTCACTCGCATTTTATGAGCAGCGTGCCCGTTTTCTCCTCATTGTCTCCTCTACAAAGTGCACTATCGCCACCTCTCCCTACCGCTCTTTCTATTGCTTTCTATTGCCTTTTGTATTATTTTCTTTTCAGTAGATTTTGAATGCTTTTTTCCAGACTTTTTTTCCCTGCCAGTAGCTTTTATGCTTTTTTCTACCAATTGTCCGTATCTGATTTAATCTTTCGTTTGTTGCTTGCATTTCTACTAAATAGATACTTTGAGTGAAATATTCAGATAATTTTAGACGAACGTACAAAACTCTTTATCACTTTAAAACAAAGTCCCTTAAAATATTGCCTCAGATCTTTAATTATCTCAATATGAAGCTTCAAATTACGGTTTACTGTTTCATTGACAATAACGTGATTCAATTTTTTTTACATCCTCAATATTTTAACTTTTTATTTACTGTATGGATAAGAAAGTATGATAATGAAGATGATTCCTTCTTCCTACGCAGATAAATTAAAAAATTTGAAATGAAGCAAATACTATTTTTATATTCATTTTTACATTTGCATGTACATACAAGCCAATACCCCTTTTTTTTATTTATGTTACAGAATCCCAAGCGTGCATCTCAGCTGCAACGACCTTTATTTGTACTCTGTCGATACTCGTTGTCAGTATTTCCGCACGATAATGTGAAAAAAGACGAAAAGACGAAAAGGAAAGAAGAATGTTTAGCCAAAAGATGACGAGAAGGGCAGCGCTCCTGTTGCTGCCATTTTATACGTGTTATATATGCCTGCATTCTGTGACATGATAAGACTCTGTGTACTAGTGGTATTGGGCGTACTGAGAACGTCAGTTGTACAAAAAGAATCACGAAGAAAAATGAAAAAAAGACTTTCTTTATAGAAAAATTGCTGTATACTTGAATAGCGTCAAAAGATTGCATTAGATTCACTGTGAAAGCTACTGTAAATCTTAACTCATTGCACGCTTATGCATGTATATACGTATATCCTGGAGACATCATGTACAAATCATGTATATATATTATGCTGTACAAAATATAAGTGGTTTACAACTCGTATTTTGATTCAAGTTCATTTTTTTATTACTTATGATTGTGTCTTACCTAATACAGTTATATAAGTGAAACGTGAATGAAGAAGTATTGCTAAAGTGAAATACCTTAGGATTGACCAAGCCTCATATACTTTTTTTAAATAGAATTGAGATAAAAAAACACAATGAAAAAAAAATCGAAACAGCAAAATAAACGGACGTTACATAAAAGCTATTGCAACAATAATAACGAAGCATCAACCTGTACAAGTACTCGGTAGAGTAGCAAAAATTATGTATGATTTCTTGCATGGATGATGATTACTAAATGACTTTGATACCGTAGCTTAGCTCCATAGGTTTTTTAATACGTGAGGTTCAGAATTTGAAGGCAAGTACAAGGTAAGTAACATCAGATCACAAACCGCAGAGATTTAATATTTTTTCGTAGTCATAATAAAAATACAATGGAGAAACTTTTATTTAATTGGTTGTATTGGCAAATCTTTATTCACACACTGGTATAGAGAATACAGTCTAATGGATTTCTGTCACAATATTTAACTGTGCTTAAAAGATACCTTTCTCCACCGAAAAATACAATTTTATTTCAGATGGAATCTCAAAACATGCAATAACTATTCTGGTTTTCTTTTTGTGAATTGGTGCGTAATGTACACTATTTGCGATAATTATTATAAATTTAACTAAATAGTTGTAAAAAATTTTCAAAAAATTTCAAAAATTGAATCATATTTAAATGATAATTAGTTTTTTTAGGGTAGAGACTAAACTTAGGAATTTTTTAATTACCAGCAGTCGTACCGTATCAATATGTGCCTAAATTTGTATACATTTCAGAACAATAATCAGTCGGTATATTGATTGGTCTTTAAGAACTCTTTACTTACTTACAAAAATTCCAAGATCAATAGATTGAAAAAAAAAATTTTTCAATGTTACTCAATGTTTCTTAGTGAAATTCCACATTCATCGACGTCTTTGATCTGTATATATAGAGCGCGCGGTGGCTCAGTCGGCTAGGTCGTGGATTGGCACGCGGGAAACCGTGGTTTCAATTCCCGGCCAGTGCGACTTTACGGGAAAGTACCTCTGTGATTGTTCACATGTGCTTTTTCACCACGCAATGCTCCTCGAGGAGGGTATAGGCGACCTTCTCGCAGCAAAAATTGCCTAATTTCCCCCTATCTTCCCCTCCCAGTAATGGGAGGCCTCCTATCCCTCTTCCCTTCCTTCTCCAAAGTGCTAAGTGCCCATAGTAGTGCCCTTATTAAAAGGAGCCGGACGTAGAGCACTATAATATAAAAAAAAAAAAAAATCTGTATATATATACTCACTAACGTCACAGGAAGAACTTTTACCTTAACTCCGTCCATCTCTTTTTTCTCGTTAAAAAAAATGTATTTCCGCAACTGAAAATACCTAGCTTCTGCCGTGAAATGCTCGAAAAACTCATGAAATTAATGGAAAAGTTTTATCTTTGGTATTCAACATGTCGGAAAAATAAAATTCAGTGCTGCAGAGTAGCAGCGGAGAAGTCTTCGGGATACTTTTCTCCGCGTGAATTCTGATGCGCGCACGAAATATTGATGTACGTATCTTTCACACGTACGTACCAACACACACGCACACCTGCTAGTGCATGCATATTTAAGTATGTGTGCACGTGTGTGGGTATAGCTGTATGAACACGTATGTATACGTATGTATGCTTGACACGTAGTGGATATACTAAAACTCTCGTTGAAGTAAAGTAACACAGGAGTTGTTATCAGACTTTCGGGAGGTTTGGATCCACAAAAAGGAATGATGAGTCGAGGGAATTTTTGGTGGGTTAGTGACCAAAAAAAGTGCACGTAAAATTAATAATATAACACCATACATCAACAAAAGTATATATGTCTGACAATACGCACAGTCGTACTACTTAAAAGTTTATTTGAGGATTATTTTCCATTCACTTGAGCTTATAATTTTCAGTTCTCTGTTTTCTTTTGTTAAATTTTTTTAAGTGTGTACTGAATTTCTGAGAGTGGACAGGAAATTCCGTATCGATCATTATTATAAATAATTTGGGAAGTTAACGTACTGGCATATTCTTTTTAAAAAGTAATTTGCGGAAATCAAATCGATACTTTTGCAGTTTTGCAGTTAAGTCAAAGGCATGCGTATATACGCATACCTATGGACATGTGTTAAGGCGTGATGTACCCTAGGCTGTGAGTAGATTAAAGAAACTGAGTACTTTGAATCCTTCTCGAATGGTCCTCACAATTGCCCTCAATCCTGTCGGATCCTTCCAAAATACTCTTACGTTAACTTAATTTAAAAATGTAAATAAATCTGTGTAAGATGATTTAAGGATAGAACGTACATCATCAGATAGAGAGAGAGAGAGCAAGCATTCGATATATATTGGGAGTATTTAAAAGCACAGAGTTTATTAGATTCCTAATTTCTGTTGTTTACTTTTTCTCCGTGGGATATTTTGGGACGATTCAATTCGGATCAGAAAACGCCTCGTCACAAAGTGGTAATGACATAACAAGTAGAACCAATGACCCAAGATACGTTTTTCTTAACTAACTTACCAATTTGCAAGCTCCGAGGTTCTCCACTCACGGCAGTATATCTTCTTCTGACATCATGAAACTATTTTATGTCCATCAGAAGACTTTATATCGATGACTGAGTCGTACACATAGCTGCGATGTTACTTATAGCTTTCAAATTTCCCTGTACGTCATACATGAGTGAAGTATTTTCAAAAAACAATTAATGACCTTTCGCTGCGAAACGGTGAACAATTGATTTTAATCGAGCTACCGTAGCCACGGTCTGTATCTAGTTTGTGGACGGGGCCGATACTTTGTTAATGTCACGTGAAGTTTTATAATCTGTGTATATGTGTGTTTGGGCGTGGCTTGCCAACAATATTATGCAAAACGCGAATACTCGCGAACACTTAGTGCACGCTGGAGATTTTATTGGGTTGAAAGCACGTATATGTTCATGCATCTAAATCGAGTTCGTAATGTAGGTACGGACGAATTTTCACCTATGATATTTGGGGATACTGACACTCACGTTATTCGTAAATTCGATTTTAGCTCTTCTTGCGCATACATTATGGATTTTCATGTATACGTGGTGGGTGGTGGTTATTGTTCGTGTTCTGGTCTAGGCCTCCGTGTGGGTGTCCGTGCATGTACACGTGTTTAGTTCGATGAATTGTTATGCACTAGAGAGAATTAATTGGGTTCGCGTGATCTGCGTAGAAATACGTGTATATATACATACATACATATGTATTTTTTTTAATTATAGTGCTCTATGTCCGGATCCTTTTAATAAGGGCACTACTATGGGCACTTAGCACTTGGGAAAAGGAAGGGAAGAGGGATAGGAGGCCTCCCATTACTGGGAGGGGAAGATAGGGGGAAATTAGGCAATTTTTGCTGCGAGAAGGTCGCCTATACCCTCCTCGAGGAGCATTGCGTGGTGAAAAAGCACATGTGAAAAATCACAGAGGTACTTGCTCGAAAAGTTGCACTGGCCGGGAATCAAACCACGGTCTCCCGCTTGCAAATCCACAACCTAGCAGTAAGTTTTTTTTTGTAAAAATCGCATGATAGGAGAGCAATTTTACCATTGATACGAAATAAAACACACAAAGTGACAAATTGGTATTTCTTTTGTAAAGGTATGATTTTTCAAGATTTACATAATCTATGTCACTAATGTTTTACTTACATTACACCCGATTTTTTCGTAAAATTGTATTTTATTAAGTACAGGCATGCACGTGCGATTGCAAAACTGAAAAATGATTACGCAATTTGGCTTGGGTGGCCTTACTTTCTCTTGACTAAAAATTCCAACTCTTGTCCCCTTGGGCATCCAAATCCCAGCTACGTGACCGCCTCTCGTCTACCACCAGAGTTAGCCCAGAGGTGATAAGCAAGAGAACGTGTGGTTGTTGGTAAACGTGCTCTTGTACGTATGTTTGCATATGCAGGTTGTGGGAAAGGTAAAAACTGCTATTGAGCGCATGGTACGACGCAGAGAAGGTATATATAGAAAGTGGTTTTAGCATGCGAGAGAGATAGCGATGAAAGAAGAGAGAGGTCGAGCCTAGGGGGGATGGAAGCGTAGCATCAGCTGTTGGGCTCTCTTCTCTTCTTCTAACTTTCGACTAATAAGCCACGGAAACGCGTATTAATCATACCACATGTACTATATACGTGTATGTGTGTACGAGTACAGAAGCCCAAAATAAAATACATTTGTACGAATTAGGAGACGAGAAGGCTACTCGACACTTAGTTTTTCTTTGTTTTCTTCTCTTCTTCATTTTCTATTTGATCCGACTTGTTCATTCAATCATGATGATTGGCTGTCCTCTGTATCTCCCTCTGTATATGGTGTGAAAAATCGTATTACAGAAGCCAACAATTTTAGTAGTCAAGAATAAAAATACAGACAAATCTTGTAGGTTTCAGGAGATCATAATTTTTTGCTACAGAGAACTATACTTTTTGTAACGAGTTTATTTTTCTCTGGTGGTAAATGGCTTAGTCTCCTTTTAAATATAACTATTTACTTGGAGGAAAATTGGAGGAAACGGAGAGTGATTTTCTCTTTACTTTTTTTATTCTCAAATTTTCCGTGCATACCCAGAAGCTTGTTGATAACCTCGTTAGGTTTGCATGAGATTTTCGTCTTTGTTTACTCATGTTCTTTACTTTTCAAGCCAAGCAATAAGTTATTAGCACTGGTTTTGCTACTGCTGCTGCTCATGTTAAGCTTTCTTTTTTCCTTGGTAACGTAAAATGAGAGTTGAGGTAAAAAAGTTTTTTTTTTTTTTTAAGTCAGGGAGTAAGGCCACTTTACAAATTTTTCTTTTACTTTCCATCAATATATTTGCATCTCCTGTAAAACTTAGGATCAGTGTTTGTATGACCATTATCTAGTAATTAATAATGAACGACTGAAGAAGGTTCA